CCTTTGTGCTTGCAGCAAGTTTGCAGCAAGTATGCAGCAAGCTTGCAGCAAACATTTTACCATGCAAATGAGGTTTGCTGCAAGTCAGCAGCAAACACTGGATTTTCCAAATATGGAAACCTTGCTGCAATCTTGCGGCAAACATTGCTAGGCAATATCATGGCTTCCTTGCAGCAGGTAATGAGATTCAGGAATCAGCAGCACAATTTATCTGCGTAGACGAACACCCTGATACACTCTTTGGAGCCCAAGGAGGGTCGATGGATGGTCGGATAATCTCGGCAGTCAGAGCAAAATGTGGCGGCGCTTTGGGATGTCCACCTTATCTTGACGAAAGTGAACTGTCATGTGTTGTGTGCACCAAATAAATTGAAGATTACGAAAACATTCTCGAATAAAACACCTTCGTTAATATGTGTTATTTCATCGTATAAAGGCATTACATATAATTTAATCCATTAGCAATAGTTCGTAAAATTGTTATGATTTGAACCTCTTTTGACCAACAAGTACATTGTTCATTGACTAAAGTCATTTGGCCGCCACTGATCTCCAACTGCTGCATACAAAAAGCCCCGAAGCAGGGTTGGAGATTATTGTTATTTGGAATACTTATGACAAGGAATGGTCTATTATCTCATTATTTGATAATGTATATCTGCATTGTTGTGTTATGTCCTGACAAGATACGAAGTACTTAACTTTAAACAAGTTTGAATCTGTTACAACGACAAGTTTTAATAATTGGTACATGTATATTGGTTACATGTAGCAAGCCGGGTTTAAATTTCAGTACACCCGGCTTGAGCCGGAGGTTAAATTCATGGCGTCAAAATCCTTACTCTATCATAAAAAGCAAATAACATAACGTTGTAGAGAAGGCATGTATGGTACTTGGCAAGTCTGTTCAGTTCCAGTTTGAATCTCTCTAGTTCACGTTCACAATCCGTTAGTTATTTAGGACGACAGCAATTTTTGTTCGATTGCCACTTGTGATTGGTTTTCAATGCCGCTGAGCATGTGCAAATGTTGTATTCTCTATTTTTTTCTGACCTAACAAAAAATACTTTAAAAACTTGATATCATGATATCTTTCAAAAGAAATCCAATCTGACAATATAACTTGACGAAAGTTTACATTTTTTTAAAGAATTATTTTTACGAAAAACCTCGAATAGTTTTTTTACCATAAAAAAGTTGGACCAAAAAACTTTAAAAGATTAAATTAGCATCCTTCTATCCAACTGCGCATAAGTAATATGCATGCTGATTTTTTCTCAAATTATATATATAACAATTACTTTCCCTAAACTTTATCTGCAAAAAACTTAGATATTAACATATCACGGTTTTCGGTAGGTTATTTCATTGTGTATGAGACCTCAAAGTTTTTTTTTTTTTCTGATCCAATCTCGGGTATGCGAGGATGCTTATGTATGCAGAACCTTTCCCGAAAACCCATCAGTAGTGAAAGAAATCATATAATGGTGAAAATATTGCGTAATTAAGAATGCTACTCAATTTAATTTTTTTTTCAAATAAACAAACAGATACTGAAGTCATCATGAATGAACTATAATATAAATATACGGGATATACGATAAGATGTGCAAAAAATATTAAACATGGACTTTGGCCTTGTAAACTGCTGATATGCTCCCCCCCCCCCCCCTCGCTATCTCTAAGTCACACACAGTAAATGTGATTTATCGACCTCGCACAGAAAGGCATTTGAAAAACCTATGTTAACAATTAATAGGACAAATATTTCCCTCAATACGCTGAATCCTGAAAAAGTTACAACAAATCTTCTCATGGAAGTTTGTATTTTACAACACGCAAGTTTAAGAAATAATTCAAAATAAATTCCTTCTTTTTGTAGAAATAATAAGCTCAATCATTTACTTTAATATGCTTCTAGAAAATTTTTTCATGTAACATCCTCGGTATTGATTCTTCTACCTTCAAGATGACGATGTTGCCTCACATCAATGTTTGTAATAAGATAGTCATTTAGATACATGAAAAAAAAAATTTAAAAAGACTTTGAAAACATTATCATTGGTTATGCTTGGATCTTAAATAATTTATATATATAGATGTAGCCGAGCAGTAAGAATGATATGAAGAAATCAGATGTTGGTAGCCATTTTATTTAATGAAGTTTAAAAAGACAGTGACCTATAAAAAATATAAAGAATAAATCAGAGAAAAATACAATTTACACTATAGTTTCATAAACTTTGACAATGAGTTAACTTTTAATGCAGCATACAAATATTAGATAGAAAACAAGAGGCCCATGGGCCACATCGCTCACCTGAGCACATTGGCTAGGCAAAAGCACAAATCAGTTCAGTATTGAAAAGATTACGGAGGGGGGGGGGCTTGAAATTTAAACTACCTGATGATGCTTCCATGTCAATATAACAAATGGCTTTGTTGTACTTGAGTAGGTTTTAAAAAAATTTTCCCATTATATTCTTTGTAAAAATTTGATCCCCCATTGTGGCTCCTCCCTATCCGGGTGGTCATCATTTGAACAAACTTGAATTTACACTACCTGAAGATGCTTCCATATCAATATGACTAAACATAGCTTTTCTGTTCTTGAGAAGAAATATTTTTTTCTGTATGATCTTATGTTAAACTTTCGACCCCGTATTGGGCCCCACCCTACCCCCTTGGGTCATCATTTAAACAAAAATTAATTTACACTACCTGAGGATGCTTTCATATCAAAATGACTAAACATGATTTTCAGTTCTTGAGAAGAAGAAATTTTCCTATATGTTCCTATGTTAAATTTTCGATCCCCCATTGTGGCCCGACCCTATCCCCAAGGGTCATTATTTTAACAAATTGGAATCTTCACTACCTGAGGATGCTTCCATATCAAAATGACTAATCATGGCTTTGCAGTTCTTCAGAAGTAGATATTTTCCTATATATTTCTATTTAAGACTTTGATCCCCCATTGTGGTCCCACCCTACCCCAGGGGGTCATGATTTGAACAAAATAGTATCTACACTACCTGAGGATGCTTCCATATAAATATGACCAATCAGGGCTTTGCTGTTCCTGAGAAGATTTTTTAAAAAATTCCTACATATTTCTATGTAAAACTTTGATCGTCCATTGTGGTCCCGCCCTACCCTCGGGGGTCATGATTTGAACAACTTGTATCTACTTTACCTGAGGATGCTTCCTTATAAATATGACTCATCATGGCTTTGCTGTTCTTCTTCAGAAGATTTCTAAAGATTTTTCCTATGTATTTCTATGTAAAAATTTGATTCTCTATTGTGGCCCCGCCCTACCCCAGGGGGTCATGATTTGAAAAAAACTTGAATCTACACTACCTGAGGATGCTTCCATATAAATATGACTCATCATGGCTTTGCTGTTCTTGAAAAGAAGATTTTTAAAGGTTTTTCCTATATATTTCTATGTAAAACTTTGATCCTCCACTGTGGCCCCGCCCTACCCCCGGGGGGCATGATTTGAACAAACTTGAATCTACACTACCTGAGGATGCTTTCACATGAGTGTCATCTTTCCTGGTCCTGTGGTTCTTGAGAAGAAGATTTTTAAAAGATGCTATTAATTTTTCACTAATTCTTTATTATCTCCCCTTCAAAGAGGGCGTGGCCCTTCATTTGCACAAACTTGAATCCCCTACACCAAAGAATACTTTGTGGCAAATTTAGTTGAAATTGGCCCAGTGGTTCTTGAGAAGAAGTCGAAAATGTTAAAAATTTACAGACAGACAGACAGACGGACGCCGGACAAAAAGTGATCAGAAAACTCACTTGAGCCTTCGGATTAGGTGAGCTAAAAATTTTCTGTAGCAAAATGAACTTTGAACTTACAGACAAATATAAGAAATTACTCAGACAACTTTAACTGCAAAAAATACAATAACGTATAAACTTTGCAATTAAAATAAAATGGCATACTCAAAACTTTTATAGTAAAGTAACAAATAAATAAATATGAAAGTTACATACCACAAGATGCAGCTGATATACGCTGGTTAGATATTTTCTTTATTAAATGCAATACTGCCCAATTTAGCTTAGTTTGAACGGTTACTTATAATCAAGGTAAATTAAAACTATTGGATAAGGTCAAATGAAACAATGAAATTAAAGATAGAAATCGACTCAATCCGATGCACAAAAGAATTATATTACAAAAATATTTAAGATTACTTTAGATGAAACGAAAAATAGAATGATCCCAAACGAATAAATACATAAGAGACAAATATTAAATCTTTACTACCACAAACAAACATACATATATACGTACATACATACATACATATATATATATATATATATATATATATATATATATATATATATATATATATATATATATATATATATATATATATATATATATATATATATATATATATATATATATATATATATTAAGATTGTATTGATAATTTACCCAAAATCCCATAATTAAACTTTTATTGCAAGCTCTCTCTGTTTTTAAAAGAGGCACGCTTTATTTGTATACCCGTAAATTGTCACTGACACGACTCGTAGAAATGGCTTCAATTAACTGGTACATGTACTATTGTTATAAGAAGAAAGGACAAATGCGAGCGTTTGATATCATGAATTTAGGTAAAATGTGCAGTAAATATTTTATTAATTTTGAAATCAAATACATTGGAAAAATGTAGATGTACAGTATTTATTGTACTATGTAAATGTTAACGATTCAGAAATTTGTTGTATAATTGTGATAGCGTTTGTTAAATATAGTACAACTATTCTATAAAAGACGAAGAGTGAAAATGGCATGAAAAATTAATTTAAATTTCAACGAATATTCGACTATCGTTCAACTTAAGTCTCTAACTATTCGATTAAGCTGTCCGAATAAAATTGGCATCCCTAGTAATAATATAAAATATTGACAACATTATAAGTTTTCCCTTTTCAAGTGCTCCTCCTCTGAACAGGATTGGACTTCCTTACGTCATGCTGGAGCAGGGTAACTCTGGAGACCCCATATGCACCAGCACTCTGTCCAACCACTTCAAGGGACTGTTCAGTTTAATTTCAATCCAACAGGGGGTAGTGGTCATTGTTTGCCTATGTTAAGGAAACATGGTACACTGAAACGTAGCATCGTCTTTTAGATAAGCACCACAAAAATGAGAAACAATGAAATTGCCTGAAATATTTTGCCCATGCACACAAAAAAGACAAAGAAAATATTTCCAAACTCTAAAAACATTTTTGGAGGACTGTGTTTATAGAAATTTGTAAAATAAACATAAAATTCCATGTCATAAAAATGTTGAAATATTATCTTTTCTATGGTTTGAATAAATGTTTATAAATGTTTATTGCCTGGCCTCACCTGTAGTCGGCTTCCCAACCCTCCACGAAACTCATACGAATTGTACATATTTTTGTCAGCTGGTAAACTGCGTCAAATCCCTGATAGACAGACTTAGAGAGCAATTCAGCAAATTCCAGGTCATCAAAAATCTTCATTTTACAACCTTTAATAATATACATTTAACAAACATTAAAAAAATGAACAAAAAGCCTGTATCAAATAAAATTATATAAAAATCAATAATAAATAACCTTATTATGTAGCAACATATATCCAGGTATCTTTAATTATGAACATTCACAACTGTTTTCTAATTCATAACTCCTTTTAAAGTTAAGCTTGTTACTTTCTCGATATTTACAACTGAATGCAAATTTCGCTTGGTGAAAGGTCAAGTGGAGTATATGCATGTCGATTTCCCCTCCTACGAATTCTTTGAAATATAATTTGTAAATATCGAGAGCCTGGGTTCTGTAGTACTTGGAAAGTGCTGCTAGAATCGTGTAGTTATAATGACTTAATGAAAAATCTTCTATCATGTATATAAAATGTAAAATTCTTGTAAGGTTTCACGAGAAAATGTGGAAGATTTATTTTTGTGACGGGAGAGAAGGATTGTAGCAGTACTTTTCATGGCCCAGGACGTTTTTACTTAATTATTTTTACAATCAGAAATGAATATCCTCGGGGGAGTGTTGAAATTTTCACTTTTAATTAACGTATATTCTTCTATATTATAAAGGTCACATGAGGACAGGTGTATCGGAATTGTGTGCGAATAAAGAACAAAAGAATTTAATAAAAGGTAGGTTATATTCTGGGGTTTTTTTTTTAATATCAAAGAAATGAAATGAATAAAATATTTGATAGAATATTTTTGATCTAGTAAATTTTTAAAAATCAAGTCATTTTATTCATTAAAAAAATTGCTGACTCTGTAAAAAGAAAATACAGTTTAATTCTTTTATTATTGACTTTTGATGTGCTGATTCTATCCAAATTTGTCTTTCGCAGTACCAAATGTACCAAATAGAAATATCGGCGATTTTTTTTTTACATAGAAAATACATTCGTTAAAACGATGGGCGATTCTTTTTAGGACTTTACCATTATCGGACAAATGTAATGTGGTTTAAAGATAATATACCTGCAGTATTGAGGTCATCTATAAATTCCAATATTACAAGGGCATAACCAAGTTAAAAATCTAAGCTTAATTTATAATTATTTTCAAAACTCTTTGCTTGTCATAATTCATTGAGGGTATGGCCTTGCAATATATCGATTTTTTACGACCCTTCTATTACCCTTCAATAAATCTGCATACAAATATACGGCAGTTTCGCTTGTCTAGGGAATGTATGGGAAGTATATGAATAAAATCATAAATTGACATCGTATCCAAGTTTATGCCTTTAATTTTATATATGTGCAAATAATATTTTATTTAATTACAGAATCTTTTTTTTTGTATAAAATATAACTTGATTCGCCTCTCACTGCATACAAACTGCGTCAAATTTTCCGATAAGACGTTACATTGACAAGTGCATTGCGATCAGTGAGTTCGATTATATATTGCTGTGTGGGATTAAACCACTGACAAATTTACATGCAGTAGTAAGTATTGATGTAGTTTAAAGATATCCAACAGTTAAAAAAGCAAATCATTTCATTCTGTGGTAATTTGTAGAACATATATTTTTGTGTGATGTCATGGTAAGCATTTCTCGTATAAATTATGCCCCGCTAATTGTAGCCTTAACTGTGCCGTGTTTTATGAAACTTTTGTCTTTCTAGAAATGAATTGAGTTTTCTGGTCCTAATGGTAGAACGGTGATTATTGACTCTCCTGAGGAGATCTCCTGTTTCACCAACATACTGTTTGAAGCAAACTTTGCAACTAATGAGATAAATGCAGTTGTCTGTTTGACAGGACAAATTCCCTAGTATTTTTTAGCTGCGGCCTGTAACGGGGCTGTTAAAGCTGTCTGTGTCAGAGCTGTGCTTACAGAGAAGACATCTTCTGTCAGAGCAGGTTTTAAAGCCCCCGTTAGGTAATGGATTGTCCAATCTGGTTCTTACTACTCGTTAAAGACCTTTGCCATTCGTATATTTGAGTGGAGAATTGGCAGATTCTTTTGAAGGATACCGTTGAGGTTCTTAAGGACGGGATGGTATGTGGTTACCAGAGGGACCCTGCCGCTATTGCCTTTTTCCGTGTAGCGTAATAGGTTTTGCCTGTCATGTCCCGCCATCTCATCAATAGCAGTTTGTACGGTGCGGGCATTGTAGTCTCTCTTGCATAAGTGGGACTTGAGGAGACCGTTTTGTTCCTGATATAAGGCAGGGGATGAACAGATGCGCCGAATTCTGGTGGCTAGACCCTTAGGCACACCCTTAAATGTGTGTGGGGGATGACAGCTAGTTGGCATAAGATACAGATTGGAATCTGTGGGTTTCGTGTGGAGACTGAACTCGATTTCACCATCAGTCAGGGTAGATGTAGTATCTTGGAATATGTTTTTCGATACGTATACTGTAAATTTGATAGACTGATGAAAGGTATTGGCAAACGAAATGAATGCCTCGAGGCTCTCGCGACATTCCACCCACTTCATCTCTATATCGTCAATGAAACGCAACCAGCTAAGGGCCTAAATGGTGCTTGAAGTAGCAAGTTGCGTTCAAGTCTGCCCATGAAAATATTGGCATAAGATGGTGCCATTTTCGTACCCATATCAGTGCCAATAACCTGCAGGTAATGTTCTCCATTAAACATGAAGTTGTTATACTTGAGATCATGTTCAAGGAGCTTCGCAAGGGACTCGGTAGAAGAAATTTGTATGGATCTACTATCCCAGACTTCTCTACAGGCTTCGATACCCTCATCGTGCGGAATATTGGTGTACAAAGATGTGACGTCCATAGTCACGAGAAGGGTATGATCTGGAAAGCTAGTAGAGGGCGTCTTGTTAATGTAGTCCGTGGTGTCCTTGAGATAGGATGGCAAATTCTCTACGTGTGGACAGAGATGTAAATCAATGTATTCAGAAATTTTCTCCGTGGGGTGTCCAATTGCGCTAACTATAGGGCGACCTGGCATACCTTCTTTGTGTATCTTAGGAAGCAGATAAAATTGTCCTGGTCTACAGTCAATAGGATTGAGTGTCTCATAGACGTTGATACCAATCTCGTTTTTCTCAAACATTTCGTCGAGAGTTTTGGTGGTGGCGGTGGAGAATTCTTTAGTAGGGTCAGAGTCCAGTTTCTTATAGAAACGTTCGTCTGAGAGTTGTCTATGGGCCTCCGCCATGTACGTCTCTTTATCAAGTACTACTACTGTAGAGCCTTTGTCTGCTTTCTTGATTACTATGTCCTCCCGATTCTTTAATGATTGTAAGGGGGGTCTCTCTTCCTTACTCAAATTGTCGGGAGCCTTGTCTGCCATTGAAAGGAGTTTCTCTTTGTCTGACTCAACGGCGTCAATATACGACTCAAGGGCTCCGCATTTGCCCGGTGCAGGTTCCCAGTCACTTTTGGGCCGATAGAGTTTGTGTTCCTCCAGGTCATGCAATTGTGGCTGAGAAGAGTCATATGAATCAACTTAGGAGTCTTTTCTAGAAAAGCACAAAAAATATTTTTACATGGCTGTTGACAGAAATCTTCTGAAGGTATTTCTCATTTCGCTTATTTAGCATATTTGAGAGGTCATGGTTGTTTTTCCCGTACTTGAGAATTGTTAACATGACACGTTTTTACCATGCATATGTCTTGTTTAACTCAGTTCTGTACATTTTCTAATATTTTTACAGTTAATTAACAAAACGAAGGACGACAGTTTCAATGTATTTTGTTCATTTTGAATGATAGATTTCTTTTTGGATTTTTTTTTTTTATTTTTATTTATTTTTTTTTTTTTTTTTGCCATTTGTCTGAAAAAATACGCATTTTCCCCTACCTCGGTGTTGTGTGATTAAAAAAAAACAAGCTGTTTAAAGTTTTAATCTTAATTATATTCTGAAATATTTTAAGAGATACATGTCCACTAACAAATTTTTTATCTATGTTATGGAGAGATTGATGGGTCCGTAAATATAAAGAATCAAAACTCAATTTAGACTCTGTAGGGCATGGTATTTGTCAATCAGTATCTCTGAAATAAGGTAAGAAATCTAATTATATAACTACTTTTAAAAACCCATGACATATTAATTAATAGCAATATATAAAAAATATGAAAAAAATGACATTTTTTTTTTCAGTTCAAGGCCCTTCTTCCTCTTAAAGAGATGGGTTCACTTTATGCATAAAATGGCCCTGTAGATATACGAATTTATTGACTAACACTTTATGTTCCAGTTTAAACATGAAGATAAAGTAGAGACCTAGTGCTTTCATTTCCTATTAAAAACTTTCTCCTCAAAGCCAAGGTCTTGGAAAACAGGCTTCATGGAATTGCAATGTTCTTGAATTTTAAGGAAAACAAGTATATTTTAGTACTTTCACAGAAGAGAAATAATATGAGCGCACTCTCTGATCTAAAAAATAAAACAAGTTTTGTAATCTTCAGAAATAGTTCTTTCATTTAATAGTTGTATATTTTAGATCAGAGGTTGCGCTCTATATTAAATATCGAAAAATAGTTTTAAAAATTGGCTGTTTTTGTAGAATTTTTCAAGATATGAGGAAAATGACGCATTTCATGACACCATAATGCATTGGCTAGCCAGAAAATTACGTCATTTTTGATAGATACGCAGTCATCAAAGGTCTAAATAATATTTAATGCATTGTCAGCTAAAACCAAGCAGTTTCAGTTTTTTTTTTCTGAAATTCACAGGGCCAAAAATGCCCTAAGTGAACCTTGTTCTTTCTCAATAAATTAACTTATTTAAAATACAGTACATTTTTGTATGACCCGTTTTTTAAATTATGATTTAAACATTATCTCGAAAGAATAAACAATTCAGAATGGCAGTATATGTCATGGCTTTGTTCTTGTTTAATATTATAAGGTAAATACATAATAAAACAATGATATCAAAACAATGGACAATAATCAAGTATTATAGCAAGTGTCAATGAATAAGCACCGATCTCCAATCTGGCATTTGGCGCATACAGTTTGCAGAAACAAGGCGCCATATGGTGCTGACAACC